TCGACCTCGATGAAGCACAACAGAAGACAAGAGAGCACCGCGAGCGCACGCTGGGCACATCAAATGTCGCGAGACGTGAGTCTTGAAAGCTGGAGCGAATCCGTCGCGAATTTCACCACCTCCTGTGCGTGAAGGAATGGGCGGTTTCATGCAGTTAAACGATGCGGTCAGAAGATGGGGTGCGGAGCAGAGGCTCGGCAGCTTATCCCTTCGCCACGGTGCGTCCACCCCTGGGTCTCAGCCAGTTTGTGACTGCATTGCAGCTCAGCGCGGTTCCAATCTGGAGTTTCGAAGCCATTGCATACGGCCGGAGGAGGTTTGGTGGGTGGCCACAGTGTCTGTGGGAGTGGGGTTTACACCTGAAAACGCCGGACCATCTGAGGACGATTGATCCGAGTACAAACGTGGGAGTCCGAGTCAACTGTGCGAGTGACTGGATGCGTGGGCAAAATAGGCAACTGACGACTATCTCATTGCTTGTTATTTAAATGTGCACTCCATGTTTTTCCCACCCAAGGCACTCCCGACCACAGGTTAGTGCCTAAATGAGATCTCTACAATCGATAGTACATACAATTCATACGTTCAGATCTTGAACCAGCTCCCTCAATCGATGAACCCATACTCCAGTCACATTGAAACTCTCCACCACGAATTGCCTTCAGGCCCTAATTGTAGGACGCGCCCGATGAGGTGCGCCAATAAAATGATGATGACCACTGGATGCCCTATAAAATGCGAGCCTGCGGTCAAGTGAGTGGACAGGGAACGTTCATAGGCGTGTGCCCGGCACGCGCCTGTGTTGCGGTCAAGGTTCCCGATGCGTCGCTCGACAAAAATGGCCGATGAACACGAGTCTAACACCTGATGCATAGCCATTTGAGACAAAATATTCCAATCCAATAAGAACATGTGCATGCGCTGCACCGGTCGCGCATGCACCTCCAAGGATACAAATTGCACAAGTACATTTCAAATACCGGCACTGCCTTGGGGCGCCAGCAGCTGTGCGCCGGCAAACCTCCAGTCCGGTATTGGCATCCATGCAAGGAATGCCGCAATTGTTAAGCTCGTTTGAGCATGATTCAGAACATGTTTGCTCCTGAGATGTCCCACAACATGAGTGCCTTTGAGTCCTGTTCCTCTTTGGGCCTTTCCAAGTAGATGAGGATCGACTGTGGTGTTGGCTCAGTGTGCCTGAGCTAAGAAAATAGTATTCTTTCATGTCTCGTCCGTTCAGCAGCAGTCGTGCCTATCATGGCTGTGGTCTGCCAGATTTCAGGTGGATGCAGGCTCACAGTGAGGAGGGCTTGGGGGCGGCTGGATGATTGCTACATCCGCTTCCTTCGGCGCAGGCATGGCTGCAATTGTTTTGCTGACTTGCGGCACAGCTTCTCTCGAAGTTTGGGAGTTTTCAGCTTGAGACGACTTCGGAGATTGCGCACGACAGCAATCGTGAAGACCACTATGACATGTGAACATGACAGACCGCTATGACATGTGAATTGCAGGCGTCAAGGAGGACGTTCACAGGGGCCTTTCCACACACTGCGAAGGCCGTTGCCGCCTCTTCCCACCTTATTCTTGTCCAATTGCATATTCTGCTAGCGTCCCTCAGATGAGCTCCATCTGTTGCTCTCCCTCCCTCCTATTCCTATGCTAGGGAAAGAATTGAAGCAGAACCAAAGAACTTGCCACGCCCCGAGTAGGGAAAAGCAATCAATGCTCATGGCTGCTCAGCCAGATCCACTGCTTAGCTACGTTGGTGCCCTGCCGGAGGGATGCAGCAGGGTGCCTAGAAGGCTTCAGGCACAGTGCAAAGATAGCGGTTGTTGCTACACAATTTGTCCCAGCAAATGCTGTCCATGTCTATAATATGTAGTCCATGTCTATAAACCGATGGATTCTACACAAGACAAACGAATGCAAGGCGCTTGGTGCACAGGGACAAGCAGGCTATCACTAGAACGACTCACACACAGCGCCCACCAGGCACTTGGGCATTGCTCTCATGTGTATTGCACAAGAGCATAACAGAACGATGTGACAAGACACAACACTGTCGAAGACAGTGATGACAACTATTCCCACTGCATCCACAACAATTGATGATCAATATGTCAAGCGATTCACAGTTGAAACCAGTGGAGGGTATCCAACCAACAAAGCACCCTGACAACACTTGTAAGACGAGGTGCACAGAAGCCTGTCGACCTTTAGCCAACGGCACAATACTGTGTTTTGATTGCGTTTGTCCTGTGACTGCAGTCCTTGTTCCAGGTGGGTTGTGAATGGCTCATAAAATCTTGTCAGCATCGAATGCTGACAGCCCACTGGAACTCACAGAAGACCAAAGAAGAGGTTACGTTCTGAAAAAGATGTTCTGATGGCTGCATGGTTCCAGACGTGACTGGTAGTTCATGATTGACTCCCTCTCCAAAGAGTCCAAGGGAGCAGTGTGCCTTCTCAATCAATCTGCAGTGCCTGGGCTGGAGTAGGTGGCCTTCTAGCAGACCACCCGGGGCGGCAACGAGCCAGTGGGAGTCCGTTTTAATTGGAAGGAGGGTAGTGGCTGACAGTTTTTAGCCACGTTGCCAATTGCGCTGGTGCTCCCGTCAAAGCTGCTGCCGCGGCGGTGCAGCAGCCCCGTTTGTTTCTCTCCTCCGTTGCCAAATGCACCACAGACTTGAGCTCCATCTGCCTGAAGGCACCCGTCTCCCTTGTAGGGATGTCTCAGGCGCTATGCCTGCCCTACACTGCGTTCCAAGTTCGCTTCTCCACGGGCTGCAACCTTTGACGGCACATTCACCAGGTTCGCTGTAAACCCATTTCCATGACCCGTCGGCTGCATCTTGCGGACGATGGTCAACTGGGCGAAGGACGCCAACACAACGGCGCGCCCGTTGGCCCTCCCATCCTCCCCACCTCTGGTGGCTGGACGGCAGCCTCGCACGGCGCACAAGCATTTGCAATAACATGCGCCGTTCACTCCCTCTTCGGTGCGCCGAAAAGGGGACTCCTTTTCGGCGGCCCACCATCAAGCAGGGCAGCGATCGCCCGTCGCCACCTTGACGGCTCGCAATACGGCCGTGCGCGCGGCCGCCAGGGCGCTTTGCGGCCCTGGGGCGCAAGGGCCGTTTGCCACTTCCTGGGCGCCAGCGCGCCGATTTGTCCCGGACAGCAAGATCCAATTCCCCGGTGTGTGGACCACACATGTCCCACCCTTTGCCGGTACAGCGAATCGCCACATAGGCGCGGGGCCCGCTGGCCCCCGGTCCGCGCCGGAGACGGCGCCACCGGGCCCGAAGCCAAGGAAGCAGGTGCCCACCTTTCAGACGCCCTGCGCCCAACGGTTCGCAACCGACACCCCCCACCGGCAGGTGCTCGTCTTCAGCTCAAGAGTACCACCTCGCTTCGGCCAGCACAGGGACTGTTTGGGCTGTTCCTGCCCGACGCGCAATCTCGACGTTGAGCTGACGTTGGCTGCCTTGCTCCGTGGCGGCTTTCGCGGAAGTCCGCGGCGGTTTGCCGGCGGGGATGACGGATGAGCTGGACGTGGTCGCCCGTGCCCTGGCCACGGAGGGGTACCAGGTCAGGGAGTTCCTGAGCTACCGCCGGGGCGGGTCGGGCGGGCGGCTGGTGTTGCGGGCGCTGGATGAGCGCAGCGACGAGGACGTGGCGATCAAGTGCTTCCGGAGGGGGCCCAACATCAGCCGCAAGCACCTGGCGCGGGAGGTGCTCTACCACCGCGGGCTGGTGCACAAGCACGTGGTGTCCTTCAAGCGCGTCTTCCTGACCCCGTACTACCTGTGCATCGTCATGGTGTACGCTCCCCACGGCAACCTCCAGCAGTGGCTGCAGCGCGCGGGATGCTTCCCCGAGGGCTTGGCGCGGGCGCTGTTTCAGCAGATGGTGTGCGCCGTGGACTTCTGCCACGGCAAGGGCGTCTTCAACCGCGACATCAAGCTGGAGAACCTGCTGGTGACGGTGGAGAGCGGGGCGGGCGGCCAGCACTTCAAGCTGCAGCTTTGCGACTTCGGCTTCAGCAAGGGCCGCCATGACTCTACCCCCAAGACGCTGGCGGGCACCTGGGGCTATATCGCCCCGGAGGTGGTCAAGAGCTGCTACGAGCGGCGGGGCTACGACGGCCGGGCCGCGGACATCTGGTCTCTGGGCATCTGCCTCTACCGCCTGCTGTACGGTGCCCTCCCCATGGTCGCCACCCCCAACCGGCCCAAGAAGCGCAACTGGTGGGTGGGCGCGGAGCTGAACAGGCTGACGCAGCTCATCGTGGAGATCCCCGAGGTGCAGGAGGTGGTCGTGGAGGACGGGCTGCAGGACATCAGCCGGGTATCCGACCCATGCCGCCTGTTGCTGAGCCGGCTGCTCTGCGCCGACCCCCGCCAGCGCATAACCCTGCCGGAGCTGTGCCGCACGCCTTGGTTCCTGACCGACTACCCGGCCGACCTGGTGGGCTACAACGAGCGCCTGGCGCGGGATTACGCCGCCGACATCCGGAACAGGCTGGACGAGTACCTGCAGAGCGAGGCGGAATTGGAGGGGCTGGTGGACGCGGCCGTGGAGCGGGTGCCGGCGGGCTGGGACCAGGTGGGGTCGCCGGCAATCGTGGGCGGCAGCGCGTCGAACTTCACGACGTACGCCCTGCCCACGAGGTCGACGGTGCAGAGCCCGGACGCCAGGGGCGTGTAAGTGGACCGAATCGGGTTAGAACCCCTGCGATTCGATTTTGCGATCGGTGGCATGATTTGCGCTCGTGAGGGGCAGGCGCATTGCGGCCGCGTGGGGAGGAGCACGGGGGCTAGCAGATGGCGGGCGTGCGCCTCAAATGGCGAAGACCTGCTGAAAGAAAGGATGTGTGGACGTCAGGATGTGGATGATTGAGGTTGGAGGGGCCATCGACGCGGCGGGGCGGCGTGGCGCGGGGGAGCCGCGCGGGGTGCGGAGTTCTGCCTCGGGCGGTTGCTGGGCGGTGGGCGCGCCTTCCTTGCAGTTGCCGACCGCGTGGCGTCAATCGCTTGTCTGAAGGTCTGGGAAGAAGTCTGCGACTAGCGGCTGGCCGACGCGGCCGAGTCATTGGTGGACCGACCCCATCTCCACGAGATGCAGAGGTGCAGAGGTGCTGGTTCCAGGCTACAGTGGGGTGGGCCGCTGCAGGCGGTCGTTTTGGCGATGTGGGGGGTGCCTGGACGTGCACTAGTGGGGTGGGTGGCCCCCACAGCATCGGGATCCATGACTTACTGCCGCAGTTGGTGGGTGGCCACTGCTTTGTATGTGTGCACATAGCACAGTGCAGGGGCGTAGAGAGCGGTGCTTTGGGGTGAGTTGCTGGGCGCTGAAGGAGACGTGCCCTGGGGAGGCCGCTGCTTATGGTGTCGTGGCTTGCTGTGTATATGCATGCAGTCTATGCACACAATTTTTGCTGTGGTTGCGCGATTGTTGTGGCTCCTGGGGGGAGCTGAACGTCATGAGAACGGGTGCAGTGCTGCCAGCACCTGAGATGTACGTTAGATTGTTCAGGAGAGTTTTCGGAGCAGCGGGGCAGGGCAGCAGGCCATTGAATCAGGTGTAGTGGAGCACATGGGAGGGGTACAGGGGGGGATGTATTGGGAGTTTGGACGGCGGGGAAGAACATTTGTTGATAATAAGATGCACCTGGAAGGACCCTGTGCTCTCTGGGTGGGCTCTTGAGACACGGTAAAGTAATTTGTGGGTGAGCTTGGCGTGTAGAATGAGAGAGCATCCCAAGGCATAGCCCAGGTGTCCCTGCCTGGCATCCTTTGTGCGTACGGTTTGTGTGCCATCAATATTGATACACCTTGAGCCTGCTGTGCTTAAATTGTTGTGGCTGTAGCCTGGGCTAGAAACAAAGCAAACTGCAAGAGCGATTGGGAGTGCCTACAAAGACCAATGCCACAGCCTCCTGTTTATCCACAGCCCGAATTATTGTAAGGGATCGTCGTTCCAGGCTCCCACAGTGCCATTTCGCTGATGACACCAGCTGGGTGTACTTGGCGCAGCACCTCAGAACGAAGGGCTCCAGCGGAGCGACCGACGAAACAAATACAAATCAGAGGGGCACAATGCACGCTGAATTGTGCAGCCAAGGAAAGGTGGTTTGCCGGTCAAGTGCTGTTGCTTTCAATGTCGGCCCTCAGGGCGTGTGGCACATTGCCACTGATCGGGGGTTTCAGCGGCTTCCCAATCCCAACCTTCATCCCCTGTATTGATTGACTGAAGCACACTCGGCATACCCCTTGGCTACTCGTGGTTAAGTTCAGCCAACTACTAGAAGACACAGGGACATCAATGATCAAGGCGCTCATGATGGCATCCTGTCAAGGAAAGTTGTCCTACCTACTTGCAACTGGTGCCTGTCAGCACACCCCGAGAGCCTGGACCCTGACTCGCCACACGGAGGGGAAAACTGTGAGTTTTGGATTCTGGGCGTTGGATGTGAGGCAGCGAATGGGTTGACATTCTGAGGCTGGGTAATGAGCCAATTCAATTGGGTGCAACGTGGCTTTTATCAAGTCACCGCTTGGTTTCGAGGCTGGCTGGTCTAAGGCCGGGGTTCTGTTGATTATGCTTGAAGGCGTAGGGCCCCAGAGCGCCCGCAGGGACCCCACCACAGCCAGATGACATCCAATCGTCAACTGACGGGCATTTTCCAGTCGCGCTTCGGGCAGAGGAGTTTAAGGTGATGGCGCAAATTGCACCACATAGATTGGTGCGTCAGGGATGGTGTTCTGTTCTTTGTTTCTCTGAGTGCATTATTATCTCTTTCGTCATGGGTAGCAGTGCTTGGCTACTGTACCGCAGGTTCTTAAATCTTTCCGCACAGTAACATAAAGTGTTCCTGTGCATCGGCTTTGGACGTGGTGTTGCGGACATTCTTGAGTGGTCTTTTTAGGGACAGCTGCGGACACCAATCGCCCTACATCGCATTTCTTGTGAATGGGCCCTGTCTTGAATTGTGCATAGGGACAATCACTTTGGCTGGCTGTAATGGAATTTGACAGTAACATAACGTTTGGCCTTTTTCTGTGGAGCAACATTAAATATTGCAAAGGACGGCGGTCCATTCTGGCCGTCATCTCCGGAGATAGCGCAGCAAAATCACCCTCAAACGGGCAGCTGAGCCATGTCGACAGCCTCACCACCACGTCAGTTGAGGGTTCACTGAACGACCAAACTTTTGCCCCTCTCGCGAGCTGGCTCTTCACGAAGAACTGCTTGTCGCGACGACGACGACCACCAAAAATAGCGGCGACGGCAAGGGGAAGTTTCAAACGGGTAGCAGACTTCCCACTGCCAGCCAACCATGCAAATGCGCTTGTAGAAACTCTCACAGCCGCCGCTCAGAGCGCCTCACCCGTTCTCAACTGCTCTTCAACAGTCGACGAAGTCAAAACGGAAGTCAGGTCCTCGGGTCAGGGCCGCCTTGCCCACAGCACGTCGGCGTATGACACGGAAAACGCTTCTCTCCGCCTCGACAAGGCTGCGCAGCGATGAGATTTGGCAAGTTCTGGCAGGCAACTACACTGCACTGAAGGTGCTGTTCTTGAACGGCAAGGAAACGTCTTAAAAACACGGCCCAGACTGGCCGCGACCTTAGGAGAGTCGAGAGCTATTGCGCTCAGGCCGTGGCGAACGTTGCGCGCACAGCTAGGGGAGTCAGGCAGCCAGGCCGAACGCCTAGACCGCCGCGGGAGACGCAGACAGACCCCAGGCCGTGGCGAACGTTGCGCGCACAACTAGGGGAGTCAGGCAGCCAGGCCGAACGCCTAGACCGCCGCGGGAGACGCAGACAGACCCCACACAGTCGTTCTTACAGCTGCCATGCCGAGTGCAACAATGGAGAGTCCCCCACAGCGCTGTCCGCGCCCCAAGTACTTGTAACCTCCCCCGAGTTTGAGATGCCCCCCCATATGAAACAACATCTTTTGATTCCACGGAATCTTTCCGCCGCAGTGCCGTGTCACCACAAATCACACCGGTGTGGGCATAAAATTACTTCCCGTTCTTGTTTGCTGAATTTCGGTTCTTGTTTTCGGACACCCTAAACCCCAACTACTGATCCACGCACCGGGACTGGCCTTGTCAGCGGAACAAGAACCGAAATTCAGCAAACAAGAACGGGGAGTAATATATTCTCCACCGGTGTGCCCCACTTCCCGGCCACGTAATGCCCCACGCGGCCGTGTTCCCATCAAAAGCTACGTGGCGCCTCCGCGCGCCCCTCCTGACCTCGTTTCACTGTGCCCTATGGCAAGTCGCCCAGGGGCCAACCCCCCTCCATCCAAACGGCACCATCGCACATAAAATACCATATCTTGCTCACTAAGGATCCGTTTGAGGTGAAATCTTCCGCAAACGATTTCTTTAAAACATCTCTACATACCTTGGGATAGTAACAGCATGTTGCAAGCCTGACTTGCAACTGATTGATCTTTTAAATCCAGAATCGATCAACTTTCACAAGTCCATTTTTCTGATTGATGGCACCCAGCCTCCCGTGACAAACCATCTTGCTCTGAGCTAAGGGGCACACTTCTGAGCAGCTTGCATGCCACAGGACGCCAGAACTCTCTAGCACCATGCCAGGATGACAAATCCAGCTGCAGTACATTTGCATGCCTCTCGTATCAGTCCAGCGACCTCCCGTTCTGCGCATCCACGGCGCGCACGCTCGCTCGAACTCACGGCGCTCCGCCACACAGCCGACCACGCAGGGGGAAAGGCCTGCCCGTTCACCAGAACCCCCCCGGTAACTTCGACCCCGATCCGTCTCAATCGACGATTCGGTCGTGTGTTTGCCATCCCCCATCGGCAGCACCATGGCCAGCCACGGCTGTCCCGGCTCGATCAACAGGCATTGCTCGGAAAAACTGACGCAACCCAACTCGCCAAGCCTTTCTGCGTCCAATGCCCCCAGTCGCGCACGGCTGTAGCCCTTGCCAAAGCAAACGCACGTGCCCAACAGCGACCCGGGTGTTTCTCACTACTTCACGGTGTTTTCCAAACGTGTCTGACACCGGTGTGCCCGTGACGCGCGCTGCCACGTACTGGAGCTGTGTCCGGCATCACAACTGCACTGCTTTAAGGTTTTTGGGCATCAAGCAAAGCTGCCGTAGTCTCTCTTTGTCACCGACGTCATCTCTTTGCATTCTGAGTACCTGGGGTTTGAGTTACTAGAAAATTCTGGAGCACCCCTGGGTGATGTTTGGGGTTTTTGCCTCATTGAGCGCCATCCCACTGGATGGCAATCAGTGTGACGAAGGTGCTGAGGCTGTCGACATCCCCTCTGCATCATTTCTGGACCGTACGGGTCGCCAGCAGAGTGATATCCTTAACTTACTAATTTTTGATGACCCCCTTTTATTGGCGACCCGAACAATATATTGCTGAGGAGCAACGTCAAAAAAATGAACAGCGCTCTGAAAAGAACGTGGAGCAAAAAGCGTAACAGTAAAATCTTTTGATGCGGAAGCGTTGAATTCTCTACCGTACATGTCAAGGGACATGACAAGTCGATCCCCTTGCAGCTTTCAGGCGTGGTCAACAGCAAGCGGTGTTCTGCCGCTTCTTGTATGTCAACGTGTACCACTTGTGCGGACTGGAATGGGCGCTTGGCCTTTCACAGCTCCCAGCAAATGTTAAACGTCTCACCCCCAAGTTTGCAATCCTGCTCCGCTGGGCCACCAGTTCTGTAGACCCTTCACCGCGGATTCAGCACTGCCGACCGCTACCCGACAACCACAGGCCGCGGCGGGTGGTGCGCTGTGAGTCCCGCACCGTCACTGTCGCCTCACTGCCCCAGGGCCGCGGCGAATGGAATCTGCATCGGCCCGTGACTGATCGCGGCGTAGTCACGATCAACTGTACTTTCCTTGAGCGCACGTCGCCGACTTAACGTATCTCCCACGCCTGTCCTCCTGGGAAGCTCCCCGCACCTTTTCTCTTCCGCACTCCCCTTCCCAGCGCCTGTGCGCTGAACGGCGTCCACGCCGAGACTTTCCTCACAGGCGGCACCATGGAGGACGAGGGCCAGGCCCGCGGCACGCCCCTGCTGGAGCACAGCGGCTTCGAGTACCGCAAGCGGCCCTACCGCGACATCTTCTTCACGATCCTGTACTCGGCGTACATGATAGTCATGGGCGGGATTGCGATCTACGCCGTGGTGGAGAGGTGGGTGGAGGGGGCTGCTGGGGGCTCAGGGAAGAGGATTGTGTCGAGGCCGGGGTTGGGATGGGTGGGGCTCTTGTGTCGGGCCGCAAGGCGCCGAGGATTGGGATGGAGGATTTGATTTGGAAAACGCTGTCTGGGAGGCTAGGCGGCGGGGGGCGAAATCGGCGGAGGGTCAAGTGGATCGCTGTGTTCAAGGTTGGGACGGCCGCCGGCGCAGCCGCCGGGACTCTGCTTCTCGCATTCTTCAAAGGAAAGATCTCGTGGGCGTCGAGAGTAACGGCAGCCCGCCAACCCAAACCTTGCGCCGCCCCGCTGTGTCGGGCGCTGGAAAATGGCCTGGTTCTTTCGAAATTCCCCCCGCGATCTGCACCTGGGCCTGCGGCCATTGCGTCTGTCGCGTGCGACCTTGGGGTGGCGACGGGGCGCTCGCCACTCCGGCGATTGCAAAACAGGCGCCACGCGGCTAATGCCTCCGACACGCTTCCACACACTCCCCAAATTTGTACCCCTCCCCCCTGAGCCGCTCCTCTGGTTCCCCTTTTTACATGACCGGGCGTATCGTTCCCTGCCGCTAGACAGCACGTGCAGATTGTTCTGTTGCCGCGGCGCGGAGATTGACAGCTGACACGTGGCCCCGGCACCCCGCGCCTGCAATCACAATTGGTTTGGGATGGAACGCGGGTGGGCTGACGGTGGATGCTGAGCGCATCGCGTGATGTAGACCGAGTTCACCCATCGGTTGCCCCTGGAGTTGTCGGGCGCCTGCCGAGAGCGTGCCGAGCAGGGTCGGGACCTTTTGGGGGCGGGGGCGGCGGCGGAAGGGCGTCTCCGGACGCGTCGCGGATCAATGAGCTCTGGGAGAGCGCGGCTGATGACTGGCCAGCAACAAACCTGGAAACACGATTCCCACTGAATCCCGCTTTGATTGAGACTGCGATGCCGATTTGGGTATTTCCGATGATTGGTGATGACAGGGCGGCCGTCCGACAGGCCCTGAGCGGCCGCGATTGGGCCACGCGACCTGGTTAGTCGCTCCCGTACCGTTTTCACTTTCGCCGAACTGTTTTCAGAAGTTAATGCGCCTAAAGCCCCACACCTGTCTGCTAAAAGCAAGCTTCACACGTGCAGCAGAAAGGCTGCACCTTCATCAAAGCGTGTGGGAGCCCGTGGTTTGAAGGGCTGCTTCGGCGTGGGCTGATGCGTGGAAAGGCGCTGCTTTGTCACCTGCTGACAAGCATGACAAAAGCGCTTTCCAAAATGGTGACGATGGCACAGCAGAATGCGTTGTGAACAGCTGAGAGACAGGGTGTAGTCTGCAGGGTTGTTTGCATGAGAATATATTACTCCCCGTTCTTGTTTGCTGAGTTTCGGTTGTTGTTCCGCTGACAAGGCCAGTCCTGGTGCGTGGATCAGTAGTTGGGGTTTAGGGTGTCCGAAAACAAGAACCGAAATTCAGCAAACAAGAACGGGGAGTAAAGTTATGCCTGTTTGCGTTGTGCTGCACAGTCTGTGCCAGCGCTTGTTTGACAAGGTGCCGCTCTGGCGGAATGGCTGGTACCTGAAGGAGTGAAGCTTGCATCCAGCTTGAGAATGCTGCCGGCATCGGACCATCATCAAAACGCAAGGATGCAGTTCCAACAGACTCGTTTCTCGAACAGGCATTTGTCCAGTAACTGCGCAGACAGTTCCAACAAAACGACATTTACCACGTCGTAGGCGTGCACGCCTTGGTTGGTGCAGAATAGGACTCGCTAGCGTTAAGTACGCAGCTGCCCTGCCCCAACCACCGCCTTCAATAACCCGAACTTCGAACCCATGCGTCCTCATTACAATCATCGACCTCGTGTCTGGACATCCTTTTGATCACCAGCACGCAGCACGACGAGTTCCTGAGAATCAGATTGCTGAGCAAATAATTACGGAGATTGTACATAGTACTTTGTTTGTATTTTGTGTTTTGACTGCCATGTGAGCATATCCCTCCAAGCGATCCCCAGGCACAGGGGAGGGTATGAAGTTTAAACTTGCCTTCCATAGCGCCTGTCGTGAATAGAAACTCCTCTCTTGAGATTGTGAAGCCCATCGTACGACCTGCTGCCTGCTCCCCCCACAACAGCAACCGTCCCGGCCTGGTTGGATGGGGCCAGGAACGCGAGCAACAATGCTTCGGCGTCCAACAACATCGATCATCGCCCGACGTTGCTCTTCAGGTGGTAGAGCAGTGGCTCGAATTTCCATGCATTTCATGCGCCCACTGGTGACGACCCCTCCCCCCCCTTCTTTTGCAACGCTGCCGCTAACCACGCAAGCCGAACTATTCAGCCGGAGTTTGCTCAAAATAGGCGGTGGGGCAGCGCTGTGTGCACTTGACGATTGACGCCAAATGGGACTGCCGGCCCCAGGAATCCCGACGCCGAGCAGCTGTGGAAGCGTGACTACGTCACGAACGACACGTTCTGTCCCTACGGGTCCTCCAACAACACCTTCATCGACCTTCAGGTCGAGCCCACGGGCTACTACAAAGAGGCGTCCTTCACCTACGCCGATTTCTTGCGCGACTCGTACTACTGGATCATCGGATCCGCCGTGGGATCGGTGCTTGTGGGCATCGCGTATTTGCACGCGGTCTCCAACTGGGCCGTGTTCATGGTCTACGCCACTGTGAGCATCGGCCTGTTGGTCCCAGCGGCGGGCGGGATCGTCATGATCGTACTGTACAGCGAGCCCATCAGCGGAGGCATCCTTCTAGGCCTGGCGTTCATCTTCTTCGTGTGCATGTGCCTGGTGAGGAAGTTCCTTGACCAGGTGGGCAAGATGCTCGACGTGGCCGCGGACGGCGTCAAGTACAACTGGGAGCTCTTTTTCTTCGTCATCATTATCAAGGTGGGGCATGAATTGAATTGATGAATTGCATAGATAACAACAAAAAAGCACAAACGCGCCCTTGCAGCGACCCTGCACCTGGGCACGGCTCACAGGCACAAGTTTTGTTCCGAAAATGCTTTGGTTCCTGCTTCTCTTTGGAGGAGGCGATCTGCTTTGTCTGATTTTGGGATACTGGGGTTGCAATGGAGTTCAATTTCTGGCTCCCCACACCTGATGGACCGGTTTTAATTCGCCTCAAGGTGATTGGCACGTAAACAGTTCGTACGAGATAGAGTCGCACGTTCTCCAAGAAAGGATGAACAATGCATTAACTGTATTTGTAACCTACGAAATAAAATCACTGAATAGTTATGTCCTGCCACCATTCAAAACATAGTGGACCCGTGTGCTGGGGCATGTGCAGATGCAGCTTGCCATTTGCTGCTAGTTGGTCAATTGGCCATAAATGTTCAATAGTAAAAGAATGTGCATAACTGTGCAAAGCACAGCAAGCAAATAGTTGGATATTCGCGGAAGAGATTTCGCTGGCTGATCAAGCAGCCAAAAGCAGCATTGCTTGTTATGCACGTTCCTTGATGCCAATTATTTGCACATTGCAGATGCACATTGCCCTGATGCAAATGGAATGCAATAGAATCTACTGTATTTGAACAATTGGTTTCCGGCCACCAGGTTTGCCTGCTTGTGTACCTGGCCATCCTGGGCATCCTTGGCATTGCTGTCATGGCCGACGGGTACTTCGTCCCCAACGATGAGCGTGGTGGCCGCCCCATGTTTGATGGCGAGTGCCTGGATCTCGAAGGGGACAGTGTCCCATGCTGCGAGTGGAAGACCAATGGCTGGGTCAAGACCTATTGGGTGTTTCTGGTCCTCCTCATGTTGTGGTCTGTCTTCCTGATCTTTGAGATCAAAGTGTACGTCATCGCAAGTGTCATCTCAGAGTGGTACTTCAAGGACCCAGAGGGCGAGGGAAGCTCAAGGCTGGCGCTGTCCAATGCCTTTGGCCCCAGTTTTGGAAGTCTGTGCTTCGCAAGTTTGCTGCTGACCGTTGTGTCAGTGGTGAAGTGGTGCCTGGAGAAACTCAAGCAGAAGGCCCCTCAGAACTGCTGCATGAGGTTTGTGGCCCTGCCCCACTCCATTTGTGAGGTTTCAACTTTGAACATCACAAAATGTGTTCCGGTTGCACCACCTCGTGATGGTGTCACAATAGAGGTGCTGTGGTGTCACAACTGCAAGCAACCAACGTTTGTTGGGGACTGCATGCATGTACATTTAAGTTGTGCTTGTCACGTCTTGTAGGGTGCATGGGCAGCTCTTCATTTTTGTTCACAAGTGGAATCTAGCATTGCTCGATAATGCACATTTTTGTAACTCACCCTTTTCAGAATGTGCAATTGGCACACGCAGTCACTCCAGACTAATGCTATGTCGTGTTTGATTGTTGCTGCCATCACAAAAATCGGCAGTGTGTGTACTTGTTTGCCTGTCTTGAGTCAAGCTTAGTCCGTCGCTGCATCCAATGCATCTGCCATCCTGAGCCAATCAGGCCCAATTTAGCTGCATGCTGTCTTTGCTATTTGCTCCCCTCAAGCAGCAGCCACACTCCACGCCACCGGCCTTCAGGATATCTGATTTTGCCAAATTGGGAGCAAAGACACATTCATGCAGGCATGCAGGTCAGGTCAGCTGATTGGATTGTCTTAGCTGAATGAGTTTCAGTTTGCTGCCTGGGTTGACTGCTTGGATTGGAATACCAGGTGGTTGTCCTGGTGCATCGACGGTATACTGGCCCTGCTCCTGCCCATAACTGAGTTTTCGACTGTGAGGATGGCGATAACGGGAGAAGGCTTCATCGGTGCCGGCATGGAGATCACGGAGATGCTATCGCGCAACTTCCTGCCAACAATTGCGATCTGGTGAGGGATGGGACCCCTGGCTTGTTCGGATCCAGCAGTCTCTGATGCACTGTGCACTGAGCATATCTGCTGTCACTTGTCTGCTTCTTTTGTCACTGCCGCCATCTGGTTGATTGACGTGGACGGGCACCAACCGACTTTGATAATACATTACCAATAGTGACTACATTTGATGGATTCTCTGTGGCTGCACTCAGGTACCTTCCTCCTGTGGTCCTGGTCTTTAGCGCCCTGCTGACCTCCTTGGCTGTGGGTGGTGTGCTGGCAACCATAGCCTACAAGGTCTTTGAGCACACCAACAATCCCCATGCAAAGGACTATGCAGGCCTGCTGTTCGCCATCACGTTCCTCATCATCTTCATGGTCCTCATATTCTTCATCGCCCTCATCCTCAACGCCATGAACACCATCTACATCTGCTTTGCCATTGATCGAGACAACAAGCGTGAGACCAAGGGCAATGTGCACGAGGTAATGCAGCAATAACACCTACTTACGTCCATTGTTTCAAAAGCATTGTTGCTTAAGAGCTGATTTGGTTGGAATTTTGTTTTACATTCGCTCTAATGTTGTATGCCTTGTTGCCAGATGATGAGGTGTGTGCCAGACATAAAGAAGATGGACGACGACAACAGGGTTGAGCCCTGAATTGCAATGAAAGGCATGTACGAGCCTAAATTGCCAATGACGATGATGAAAAGCACTGGATGCTTGCCAACTGAGCTGGGCTGGCAAGAATTCTGTCACTGATGCCGAGTCTATTAGTGATGCTCTTTGAATGGCCACTGTTGGCTGTACATATGAGATCTGGCAACAGAGAGGTTCAGATTGCAAAATGCGGGCCATGGGGGTCCGATATACTTCGCAAGATCTGGGGGGCGATGCTCTTATTAAGAGGTGCATAAGAAGGGACGGATTCTTCACCTTCATATTTTTTTGTGGAAGAAGCGGCGATGGCTTCCTGTACACTCGTGGCAGATACTGCTTGCGAGTGTTTGCGAGCTCAACATGCACTGCATTAACAATGAACAATCTGGCAACGATCGGTTCAGGTGGAAACCTTATCAATCTCAAGTTCTGGAATGTTGACCCTCCTTTGTGGGTTTGTAATACTTTAAATTGCCTTCGACGTGTCAAAGCGGTTCCCTTGCACATTGTGGGCAATGACGGGCATGAACACATCCAAGAACATCTGTATGTCCCACATACGTTCATTTGTCCGCTTGCCACCCGTGTGGTCAGACACGGCTACCAGATGTGCGGGCCGGGGAACGCGCCACCCTGCAGGCGCGCCTTCTCACCTTTATTGTGAACTGACGTCCACCATCGAGTCGAGTTTGTGTTTGTCCAGGCCTGCTCTTTGCATTCACGGTTGATTGGTTCGTTTGTTTCCATGCATACACCTTGTGCTTTATCCATGTCGTTTCTGGCTCAGCAACAGAACACAGCACCCAACAGCGGTCACCGCGTCACACAGCGCCGCCTTTCAACGTCGTCCGGCCCCGAGAACATGCCAAGGCGCGGCCCACAGCAACGGCGCCTTCATCAACTCCGTACAGCTCATCCGCACAGGCTCGCCGGCGCCAACCACCCCCTGTTGCAACCCTGGTGCACGCGGGGCAGCCGCAGGCGCGGGAGGCCACCTCGTCCTGACACCCCGCGACTCCTGACAAATCCTTGCACGGGAGACCTTCAGGCAGCCCAACAAGCGCCATGTTCACCTCACACACAGCGCCCCACTAACCCAGCGGACCCTCCACACCATCATTGGGACGAAAACCTATGTTCACAATTGGCGACCACTGTGTCTCCATACTCATTTTCATCATTTTTTACCGCCAACCAACATTCCAGCCCGCTTCCTTTTCGCAGCCCCTTCGGCACACCTTCCGTACCTCTCCCCACTTTTCGGCCCCTGCCACCACCGTGCAAGTACGGCGCAGCCGCCCCACGTCAGCCCCACGCCCCACCCTTCGGTAGTGGCGCTCGCCGGTTTAAGGTGCCCGCACCGCGGCACAGCGCACCCCCCCACTTCCGCGCACAGCGGCGCGCAGCCCCGCCTCCTCATACCGCGCGTGCTGGTACCAGGCCACCTACCCACGCTTCCGCTTGTCCCGCGCTAAGCCGCGGTCGATCCCGAATCAGGGGATTCGAGCTGTGCGTCGCGAAGCCGCGGGAAGACGTGAACAAAAGCGTCCGGCTGACCGGGCAGGATATAGGGGGCTTCGTCGGTTTGGCGGGCGCATGGGTCAGTCGGACCTGCCCCCGGGATGGAGCTCCGGCATCTGCCTCCCACAGTGGTTCGCCGTCCAGGGCGAGCTGGGCAGCGGGTCGCAGGGGATGGTGCTGCTGGCCCACGACGAGCGCCTCCCGCCCGGATCGCCGCCGGTGGCGATCAAGTGCATCGCCCGCTGGTGGCTGTGCGGCGACCGGCAGAGGAAATGCGCGGAGCGGGAGATCAAGAACCACCGCAAGCTGTACCACAAGCACGTGGTGGCCTTCCGGGAGGCGTTCCTGACGCAGACGCACCTGTGCATCGTGCTGGACTACGCTACGCGCGGCAACATGCACCGCCTGCTGAGGGACTGCTACGGCGGCAGGGTGGAGGAGGACGTCGCGCGGTGGTACTTCCAGATGCTGATAACGGCGGTGGACTATTGCCACAAGCGCGGTGTCAGCAACAGGTTTGTGGGCGGGTGGGGTTGTGCGTGAAAAAGACGGGGTGCGTGCCATGCATAGGGTGCATGCCGCGCTGGCTACGGGAGGGAGGGCCCCGGGGGTGTGAGGAAGGCGTGGACGGGCTTTGCGGTGGTTCAGGGATTGCCGTTGGACGATCGGTGCCGCGGGGAAGGTGGTGGGCTGGGCTTTTCGCGGCGCTTTTCGGGGTGAGGTTCACACCAGGGCGCCCCCTTTGTGAAGGTCCGGTTGACGGGTGTTGAAGCTGGGGTGTGTGTGGACGGACTGAATGGGCCGGGAAAAATGGGTGCATGCTGTCTGAAATGTCACACTGGACCATGGAGCTCAGTGTGGTGGGTTCGGTCCTGCCGGCGCCGCTGGTTGTCGGGAGGGCCTCCCACGATCGGCGGAGCGTTTCGCGATTGTCGCTGATCGATCGTCTGGTGCGGGTGCAGGGACATCAAACTGGACAACCTGCTCGTGGAGCAGACGGACGAACAGTGCCTGCCGATCTTGCTGATATGCGACTTTGGCCTGTCGAAGCACAACGAGTCCATCACGCCGCCCTCCACCAACGTCGGGGTACGCCTGGGCACCACCAACGGCGCGCGCGAGCGTGTTTTTCATTTTTCAATCCAGAAGTTTCACATTTCTGGCTCGGCTGCCCTGGGCTCACGTGCTTATCTGCGCCGTGCTCACACCCACTTGACCAGCTCGGCCTGGGCATCATCGCGGCGCTGTACTGTGAGCGTACGGTTTGCGTGGATCCCTGTCAAGAAGTGCTCTTGTGTTATGGCTGCGTTTGTTCAAAGTGGAGCTGGAGACAGCCGCCTGCCACAGTTATTGGACCCCACGGACTGCCCAACCCTTCCTACCTCACCACCACCAGACTTTCTGCCCTTAGACTTCTTGAGTATTGTTAATTCGCCCTCCAGGGCTGCTTGCTTGTGCGAAGGACGGCTTGAAATCTGTTGCTGAAGATGGGGCCCCAGTTCCACGTTTCTTCTTTCTGAAGATCGCACACTGTTTCCCCACACCCAGTCCCCTGCCCCTCCAGGCACACCTTCTCTGTTATGGACCATCTCTGCCTCCCAAACTCTGTGATTTGTCCCATTTTCCTGCAACAATCGCTGACCTCTCCATGCTTCGTCGCCCCAGCCCCCACCCCCCACCCTGCCTCCAATAACACTTCCATACACCCTTCTCTCTAATGGATCCCAACCTGTGGGACTCGTCCCACTTTCCTGCAATGCCTGCTGACCTCATGTTTTGCGGCCCACCTCCCAATAACACTCCTATACACCCCCCAGCCCACTGGCTCGCAGCGATCAATCCATAAAAAGAATTGTGGTCCACAATTTGTGGATCAATACAAGGATGCAGCCATCAACTTGCTGTCTGCGCCAGAGACAATGTCTGCAAATCAAGGTGCCGTGAAAGTGAAAATCAGGCAAGGTATTAACCTTCCAATTTCCCACTCCAGACACCCATCTACCAGGCCCCCGAAGTGATCTTCTCCTGTGGCCAGTGTGACTACGACCCTGAAATGGTGGACATCTACTCCTGTGGCGTCGTCCTCTACCGCATGCTATTTGGCATCGACAAGGCCCCCATGGGTGACCTGCACATGGAGCCCAACCAGTCCTATCAAGAATACGTGCATAAGCTGCAAGCCCTGATCGTGTCAAAAGGGGACGACGCAGTCCTGTTGCCCCGGCCCGGTTGTGGGCAGCTGTCGTCGGAATGCATGGACCTGCTACGACGAATGCTGGCAGTTGACCCAGGCAACCGAATAACGATGGACGAGATCTGGGCGCACCCCTGGTTCACGGTGGACCTGCCGAGAGGTACACGCAAGTACAACAGTGCGATGTGCTCCAGTGCTGTGCTGGAGAAGCACTTCTCTAAGGTTCAGAGCGAGGAGGTGAGTGGCATTGTGCACAGCCAGCGTGTGTCCTTCGGCTTGCTTTCCAAGGCTCGTTCCTTCCATGTCCCAGCGTGGCTGCCTCTCGCTTTTCTCGATTTGGTCGCTTCGATGAGCAAGGGGGAGCACCCGCACTTTTTTCTGCTTCATTTATTCAAAAATTAGTATGCCCCTCGTAGCAGTGAAAGCAAGTGTTGGGCACTCTGTGTCGAACACATTTTTGCCTTATCTGAGCACAGTGAAACTGATTGCAGGCATTCGACACGGTTGGATCGAGTTAGTCGCAATCCCAGTGAAACATGCGCATCTTGCGCGATGCTCTTGAGTCATCTGCGTCTGGTGGTCTCAATGTTTCTTGTTGCCTGTGTCCAAATTTTTCCTGATACATGAAAGGGCAGTTGTTTGCGTTCTTTTAATCAGTGTAGTCCATACAGACACACAGTACAAAGTTTGCGCCCTTTTATGTGTTGCTGTGTAAATGTATTGTGTTTGCATCTGTATTGATGCCAGTGCTATGTTCATCAGAGAGGCTGCCACCAGAACCTGTACAATTATTGGAAACCACAAAGATGTACTTGAGTGCATACAGAGACATAGCATCAAGCGAACTAGTTGAAACATCATCAAAGCAGCTGTTGGATCGAAACTGCCTTGTGTTTTGCAGGAGCTCCAGGAGATAGTGGCAGCCTCTGGCCAGCGCAACCTGACGAACGGTCTTGTGCATAGAGTAGGTTCCATACGAAGACTCTTCTAATATCATTCGGTTGTATATTTTCATCGACTGGGTCTTTGCACATGCTGGCAGTTGGTCGATATCGGCAATCGATCATGTGTCTCTCAGTATCTGGAGTTCATCCATCGGTCCGTACAGCGCCAACCCGCCCGAATTGGCTACGCAAGCATCGGTTTCTGCACGATAGTGCAAGTTACGGGGGAGATTGCACTGAGCATGGTAGATCCCTGGGGAATGCGCGTGCCGCACTTCTCTAAAAGCCGCCATTCGTGCACCCCTGGAGACCGTGTGTGGTGTATTTCCTGGTTCTGTGGCGAATCCAGCGCTGAAATCCAGCACTGTTGGTCCCTCGGGCCGTCAGTCGCTGCGGAGTCGGGGCGAGTGGTGTGTAGCTGTGGTGCTTGAGGGAAAATAAGGATAACAGAATGCGCACATGGCGTGCACGCTTCTGCCAAGTGCAAGGCGTCCAGCTCCTGCAAGGGTGGCTCGATCGCGTTGAGTGCACGCGGGAATCGCGGTAAATTTCGGCTGTCTGCGGCGGACTTGTCGTGAAACGTGGAGCTGTGGATTGGTGAACGTGCAAGGTGCACTCGGGGCACAGGGCATTACAAATTGTTTTTGTACACAAAATCCTGTACATTATTGTTTTTTTTTAGCGCGCTTGAGACTCGTGCATGGAAAGTCCCTGGCAGGCTTTCGCCTGATGGTTATGTTTCCGAACGTTTCCTGCGGCCATTTGGGGTGGCTCGACACTGCGGAGCCTCCCTCCTCCAGGCACTTGTGTATATATTGTATTACCCATTTAACATACCAATAAAATATTCAACAGATGGATTCACAAATTCGCCGGCGCGCCGCTGCCTGGGGGAGTAATGATGCACCATGAAATGGTGCATATGTGAGCAGAAAAAAGTTTGTCAGCATGATTAGGGAAAGAAAGCAGCAAAGTGCTGCGAAGCAGCGAGTTGTCATCTCCTGCACTCATGCACCACATGCAGCTGAAGGTCCACTGAGTCTGGCAGTGCAGTCAGGCAGTGGCGTCGCTGCGCTATATATGTATGAGGTGCACAAGCTGAACCGGGTGAAGATTTTTGCGAAACAAGGCACAAATATTCCACGTTGGACCCCACTGCATTCAACATCGATTATCGAGACGGCACCACACAAGATGCTCGAGTAGAGCATTCGCCACGTTGGCAGACAACTTGGCAAGTTGAGCCCATTGGCAAACAGGAAAGTCTTTTAGAAACGGCTTCAGCCAAAACTACACCCGTCGACACACGGCGTTGACTGTTCCAGTCACCTGGCCCGCCCTGCCACGCGAACCGTGCAATCACTCCAATGTACAACCTGCCGATAACCAACGGTCCGCCTGCCTTATTCTTATTTCCTTCATCTACGGAGTTCTGAGGTTAAATTCGTACAACACATTTCAGCTTTCCGTGCACGCCAGGCCGGGTGCGCGTCCTGCCGTCGACAGGGCGTAGCCCCGGCCCAAAGGCACGGAAGGATAACAGCACAGAAAAGCAGAGAAAATGCGAGGCTCGCCGAACCGACGTTTCACGGGCGCGGCTCTGAAAACCGTATGTACGCCCGTATCGTCTACTCATGCCCGCTGCCGATCGGAAAACGACAAAAACATGACAAAAGTTTGACATCTCGCCAGGCCTGTCCGGCCGACAGCCAAATGGGAACGCCGAAAGCGTGTCTCGCAGTCCGCTGGCCCATTCAGCCAAGTCAGCCGCCGGCGAACGATCTACTCGAAACGACACCCATCGCGCCACAGGTCCACGACTCGTGTCGCGGCGCATCTTCTTGAACGCACCACCCAAGCACGCACGACTCTGGTCGTGAGCCACCTGCTTCAACAAAAATCCTCTCATGCACGACACTATGCATGACCTACAGGCTTGAACGCACAGACGCCCACGTACCCAGCACTCCTTCAGCCCTAGTGACAAAACACTCTGTCCTCCAACCCGTCGTCAACTCCGCCAGAGTCCAAATAATGGGATACTTCTTAGGCCACCACTCGAAGAGCTTCGCATGTTTATGATCGGAGGGTTTAGTCATCCTGGGGCAGGAACCCCACGCGGCGCCTGCTGCACTCCGCCATGGCCAGCTCAGAGGACAGGAAAAACATGAAGAACATGGGCGACACCTGGCAACGGGAGCCCACGACGAGTCAGTTAAGTTTTGCGCACTGTTATTGAAGTTTAACAACAACCAGGCGTTCTTTGGCGCAATTGCAGCATTTTAGAGGTTGGAAGACGACAAGCTCAAAGCATTGCATGAGTGCGTTTGAACCCACGAAATAATGTTGCACTATTTACCAAATCCGCTCGACAGCAAACTGAAGGGAAGACCGTGTAAATTGGTGTCGAAAGCATAACACCTTTGTGCCGTTTGGATGAAAGAACAGCGACAACCTACTGTTGCAGCCGAACCAAGTGTTCAGGTTTGTGTTGCATGCAATAGAGTCAGTCACGCCTATCAAGAAAGTTGAGGCGACTATGTGCGACCACGGAATTTGCGCCCTTTGTACTTCATGCCGGTTGTGAGGATAAACTCATTTGCAGTATAAGACCAACTCCATCACGCTCCTCTCTACATTCCTTCCTGCTGTCAGTTGCGAAAGTTCATATTCCACACTCGTTTGAGTATGAACGCAACTGGGCGTTGTGCTACCCAACATGCTTCCCCACATCTTCCGTTCAGTTTTTTGGGTGAGTGCTCGTTTGGTACGGCATTGGAAAACGCACACTGCGCGGGCAACAGGTTACGTAACGGCGAGTGTGGCAAACCACACCCCACGGCGTCGACCCGCGTCGGGGCGTGGGGAGGGCAACACCCATGTCGAGGCTCGTGCCCAGTACGGCCAAAGAAGGCTGCCCACGCCGCAGTTTCAAAAAACAGGCGCAAGCTTCAAGCCCATCCACCCGATCTCTTCAGGCGCCCCGGTCTCTTCAGACGTCCCGGCCGCGACTGATCGGTCGAGCGAACGCATCGCGATGGGCGGGAAAGGTCTGCCCGAGGAGCAGAGTTCTCTCCCGAGGAATGGTCACGAGCGATCGCACCAATCGCGCTGATGCGTAGCGTCGGTCCGAAATTCCGAAACCCAGCTCCGCTCCACAAAAAACTTCCGGCACGTGCAGGAACGCCGTGCCCCAAAGATCCCACCCAACCGGTCGACAACCATCCATTTTGGCGACTCGATCACCGAAACGGGGAGCCCAGGAACGGTCCGGTCGCGTCGCGACGAGCTTCCGGCGCGGAGATAGCCGATCCGGAGGACGGAGCTCACCACCAGGGCCGTCTTGCCGCTGACGCCCAGCCGCGTCCTGAAACCCGTCCAGTAGCGGTTGGCGGCGTAGACGGCCGCCCCGGAGCCGCTGACCGCCACCGCCGCCGATTTCAGGCCCGCGGCGATCGCCTCCGTCACGCAGCTCGAGCGGTGCTCCTCCCTTTCCTGGGTGTCCAACATGAACGGCCTGGCCGCGAACGACATGACGAGATTCTGCACAAGCGGAGTGGATTGGTCGACGCCTGACGGCGAGATTCCAAACGGCTGTGGGGCCGGGCGCCCGGGGGAGAGTTGGCGGCGGGGGCGGTGTCCAAGGTCCGAAAGGCTTCGGCTCTTTTGGGCGGGAGCAGGCGAGGGGCCTGTTCAAATAGGGCGTCAGGGCGTTGACAAGCCTCGAGAGACGACTGAAAGGCGGGCCTGAGGGGTCCGTACTTAACGCGCTTATGACGGACGGGCGCGCACTGAGCGAGCGTCGCCCCACGCGCCCGGCGTGCGTCCTGCGGCGACGGGCAGCCAGCCGTCTTTACTCGATGAAGACGTGTAGGGCATCGAGGCGGGGAGGCGCGGCCATCAGCTGCCTGGGAGCCAGCGCCGATGCGCCCTCGATGGAGGCCTGACGTTTGGAGGCCGTGTTGTCAACCAGCATCGCCGGGATTCCAAACGCGGGTGCCCGTCCTGGTGTGGTCCAGCGTTGGCACGATGTCGGCGTGGCTGCCGTCCCCGGGCTATCTCGTTGTGCGCCGAGAAATTCTCACTCCCGTGCACGCCGAGGGGGCCCGTTGACCTTGGGAAGCGAACTTTGGTCCAACCTGCATTTTCTGACGTCCCGCCGCGGCTTCCCGACGTTTGCCCGATCTCGGGCGTTTCCGTTTCGTGGGAATGTAAGAAGCCCGTGCACGAACGCCTCCACTCTGGTGCACCTTGCGGCTTCTCAACGGCTGGTGGGTCGCACGAGCTGGCCAGGTTGTCATCATGCGCTGGCGGACATTGACGGTGGCGTTAGACATTGTGTGATGCGGGCGGCGCCCGCTGAGGAAAACGGCACCCGTGGGGCTCCTGTCTACGATCTCTCGCTCTTTGCCGTATATCCCCTGGTTCTTTGTCGGGAAAATCCTATGACTTGGCATGTAGGCTACTTTGCGGCATCGAAAGGGGCTGCTGGCTTCCTGAGTTCCATCGAAACTGATGTGGTAATCGATTGGCGATAATTGCTGGCATCGGAATCTCTGCAGCAAGGCGGCCTTTCCTAGACCATTGCAAAAAGCGGTGCAGCAGCCAAAGCCGTGTGCAAATGCCAGTGCTTCTTGCAAGACACAGCATTGTGGACCATGGCGAGCCCGCAGCTGCGAGCATTCTTTCCATGTTTGCACACGATATCTGTTGTCCCATGCACTTTCATTTGGGCGCGGGTGCTTTGAAAATGAACACTCTTCCCTCTTGTATGCACGTTATGCACAGCCGGAGCATACTGCCGATATTGTTGCTGTTGCTCGGCCCACTGCCTTCAAAGGATAGAGTGGTTGTTGGACTGGCCATCCAACCGTTGACGCACGGCACAACCGCTCTCTCCACAATCATTTCTGCATCCGCAACAATGGTGCCATGGTCCAATTGTCACGTCAGTCTAATGGTCACCTTAGGTGACTCACCTGGCATGCGCAGTTCAGTGTTTGTATCTCTCCTACGTAGCAAGACACCAAGCGTGTTGCTCAATACG